GCCAGCGACGTGGCCGCAGACGACGCACCGACACTCGGCCCTTCCGCGCAGCGTGACGCAAAGCCAATGCGATCGCGCTCTCTTTTCCAGTCGCCACGGCCGCCACGCGAGGCAGACGTCAGCCGCCCGCCCATCGGGTCAGCCACCGAGTGGGGCGCAAAAGCATTTGCCTCCGCGGGCCCACAGTGGCTGAGCGGCGCCGGCCCCAACAGACCCGCGGCGTACCCAACGCCTACAGCGTGCTGCAACGTCGACGTCGCCTTTTCCAGTTGCGGCCGACTGCCGCGCAGCGCCATTCCACACCCACGCATCGCTATTGCACGGCACGAAAAACACAAACGCAAAGAGGTAAGAAGGAAATACGAAGGAAATACACGCATTTTTTTTTTTGATTCAAACAGGAGTTCAACATCAGTGCATCCTGTTCTTGTCGTGTTGGCATCATGCCCATCACTGCTGCTGTCAATACAGCTCTCCTCCCGCCTCCCTCGTCTTCTACATTTTAAACGATATGTGGGGTCCTTCGTCATGCGGCAGCCCTCCACGTCACCCGGCCATTGTGAGGGCTGTAGAAGTCAGGTGATTGAAAGCGCCGCTCCTGGCGTCGTTTTTCTCTTTCCCAACTATAAGCTTCTGATGCCGCTGTGGCCTTGCAACGAGCATCTTTCTTGCATACACTGTGAAGCACGGAATACCTTAACCCGCTCGGCCCCGACGCCGCAGCTTCCATTAGTTTGCGTCCCACCCACACAAACTCATCCCGTAGTACTTGCCAGTCTTCCATTGCCTCCCGCTCCAGCTCCACACGGAGAAGCTTCTGCAGCAAGTAGAGCCGCCTGAAGCGGGCCGTGATGAGAGCGGCAGGACGTGGGATAGCAGAAACTGGCATTGCAGCTGAAGCAGAAACAGAAGCAGAAATTTCCAAATGAGATTTCTCTTCACTCTCTAAATGATGCAGCATAGCTGTTGGGTGCTGGCGCCGCGCCTTGGCACGAAAGACGCGTTTGTTCAGGCCGAGAGGATCATTGACAGAAGGCGACACACAGCGCGTTGCTGCCGCCTTACTGTGAAGGTTGCTGCTGCTGTCCCATCGCCGCCTTTCGTCGCCTCCTCTATTTTTTCTACCACCACACACTGAAAGAGAGACACTGCAGCATATAGCCTTCCTGCCGGGTGAAGTATACAGGCCGTTGCTCCGGTGCGATGTCGTCCCACCAGTCATTTTGCTACAAGTTGAGGAGCACCTATTTCTGCAGCTAGAAAGGTGCGTCTCCTCGTTGTGTACACCGTCCCACCACGTAAGCGGTGACGAGCTGCGACACGGCATCAAAAGTGATTCCTCTTTCGGTCCCTCGGACGGAGGTTGCCGCTCTCGAAGATCTGTTTCCGCTCTGTACGGTCGCGTCGCTGACCGCCGCTCCCCCACCGCAACCGACAACTCCACAGGACCGTTACCACAGGGGGATGTAACTTCGCTGCAACCGTCGTGATTAGGGGTGGCAACACTCGTTGTTTGTTTGGCTACCACAACGGCGACAACGGCCTTGTAGCGCCGATACAGTAGCTTGCGCTCTTCGTTCTCAACAACCTCCACTTCAGTACGGCTCATTTCTTGCTCCAGCTCAACCATAAAGGCCACAGCCACGGAGGGTTGCCGTGGCTCGTCTGACTCGCTCATCTTCTGTGTGTGTCTACACTAATCATTCCACCCTCGGCGCTGCTGCTGCTGCTGTCGTTGTTGGAAGAAAAAGGAACAGAAAAAGCCAACATGAAGAATGAAAGGAAGAGAACAGGAGAAACAGAGTCAAAAAAAAATAGAGAGAAGCCATCCCACCATCCAGCATTTGCGTCTGTTCGGCTTTCGAACCTTTTCATATCAACTCCATCACGACACCGTAGGGGCACGTTGGGGAGACACTCCGCACACACAAAGAAGAGGAGGATAGAGAGAAATAGAATGAAAGGGAAGAGTTGCGACTGCTGTTGTGGTAATCTGTTCCTGGCGTGAGCAGCTGAGTGAGAACCAGCGTCTTGGTAGCGTTACTTGCGAAGAGACGCACCACCGAACACGGACGAAAAGGCGGGTGTGTGGTTTGATGTCAATGCCACACCCCGCCACTGTTCGCACTGAAGTCATTACGCGCCGTCGCCCACTTGTGTCTTCGTGCGGGCCGCGCCCTCCTGCACACTCTCCACCGCCACGTCTTCTGCCAGCATGGACGGATAGCAGCAGCGCCACCACGCATCAGGAATAACATGCTGGAACATCACGTTGCCAGCCACGAGGAAGCAAAAACCCAACAATTGCAGGGCGCTAAAGTGCTCCTCAAATATGGAAGGAAGTGCGAGGGCCACGGCCCACACTGTTACGTTCCTCAGTGATCCCACCATGACGCACGCTGCAGCTGAAAAATGTTTGATTATTGTCACCTGGCACACATTGTAGAAGAATCCACCAAGAACGTACAACCCCATTGAGAGGAGGCAAGGGGTGCACTCCCGCATCTGATCAAACGCCAGGATAACATCGTCGTACGGGACACGCAGCGTCGCTGTCATATTTGCAATATCCCCATCGTTCTCAGGGGGGTCAATGACATTGTGATAAAACGGCTCCAACGGAACGAGCTGCAGCAGCGCCAGCAGCATGAGTGCCATACCGACGCCGTAAGCGCCCTCCGTGCCAACCATCTGCAGCGGCGGGACGCGGTACAGTTTGACAAGGCGCTCCTCGCACACGCCCTGGTACGCGTGCATGACCTGTGCCACCACGATGAGGAGGCCGCCAAGAAACGGGTTGCGGTTGGCGCTCTCCGCCGCCCCTGTCGACGCCGAGTGACGGAGAACAGAGCTGAGGCCGACGAGAGTGAGGCCAACAGTCACAAGCAACACGCCAAAGTACTCCTGTCGCGTGAAGCGGCGGCGCAGCCACACGAGCGAGAGCAAGGTGATAAATACTACCACCGCGCCGCGCAGCATCTGGTACACAGACACATAGGTCAGAGTCAGCCCCGCGTTCTGCATGATGGAGGCCACAAAGTCGGCACCGGCAGGAAGCATCCACACGATGGGGTTGTTCGGCAGCGCAACGTCCTCGCCTTTCACAATCGCCTGCTGGCGCACGTACTTCTTCACCGTAAGCAGTGCGCCAAGCAAGATGAGGCATAGACTCTCTGAGAAAAACATGACGAGTGCCTGCACAAATGGGTGAGCGAAGGAATATGTGTATTGATGGAAGCGGTCAGTGGCGGTGAGTGTGTCAGCCCACTTGATGGTGACGCTCTGCACTGTTCCCCAAGCAATGTACGCCGCGCTCAGGACGGCGAGGAACGCTAGCCGCGGCATCACGGACGCTGTCTGTAACGGCAAAGAGAGAGAGAATGTTTGTGTGTGTGTGTG